CTTTTCCAAAAACCCTCAGGTTTTCATGTCCAAAAATAAGCTATATATCATCCTTCTAAAACCTACAAAACACCTTTTATTTATAGGAGAAAAGAGGGCAGCCAAACAGCCCCAATTACCCTAACTAAAACCAATTAAAAGAGATTAAATGGAAGGTCAAGAGGTTGTCCAAAAACAACACCTAAACAACCAACATTCACTTCAAAACAGCAGCTGAAAGGGCTCACAAAAACAAAGAAAAGCAGCCACGGGAAAATAGCAGGCAACACAATACAATTCCCAAAAAACAACATAGGAAACGGGTAGGAGAATTTACGGGAAAGCAACCAAGGAGAGACTCGAAGAGCCAGCACATAAAATTGGACTGGAGAAGCCACGGGAAGGCAGCCAGAGGAAAAACCGAAAAGGCACCTAGTAGGTTTCACGGGAACAGCACAAAGAAGGAACCAAAGAGACACAAAAAGGGGAAGAGAAAAGGGGCAATAATTCCACTCCAATAATGAACTATTTAGTAAAAAAACTTTTCATAATAATGAGCTAAAGTTTTAGCTCAAGCGTTTATAAGATAAAACAAAGAAGTTCCCAAAGAACACAGCTCAAAACCAAAGTAGCCAAGGTCCAACCTTAGAGCAATAGCGGCCCAAAAGATCAAAAGAACCCAACTTGATTTGACCCCCCCCTTTCCTACATCAATTCTCCACCGGTTGAAAGAATTCATCTCCCGATGAGTTGTCTTTAGATTTCTTCCGATGAGGCAAAGAAGGTGCCTCAAGCTCTTGAATTTTTGCCGCATACCTTTTTAAGACCTCGACTCGCTCTCGCTTGAATTGTTCTTGTAGAAGTTGTTTCTTTTTCATGTACTGCTCCGTACACAAATGCATCTTCAATTGAAGCTTGTATTGTTCATTCTGTATGGGATCTATTGAATTTCCTTCCGTCGGAATCCACATGTCCATTAGAATAGGGTCTTCAAGATTTTCTGAATTGCATTCTTCCACAATGTACTCAATTTTTTGTGACTTTCCATTTTTTTAAACACTTAAAAAAAACATGAAAAGAGACCTAGGAAGACACGAACCTAAGCTCTGATACTAAATTAATGCAAGCAAAAATTTAGGATTTTTGCAAGCAAAAACAAAAGCTTCCTAGGAAATAGGAATTACACAAAATACTCAAAAATAGACAAAATACATACTAAAAATCAACTTTCATATTATAATAGACTCTAACAAACTTTGACACAAACACACACACCTAAACTTGTTTTTCTTGGATCGAGAAGAAAGATACAAGTGATATCGAAACTTGCGGAGAGAAGAACGAGGTTAGAAGCCGAGACGAAGAGAGGAAAAGCTCGCAAGCCTTCCCAAGAAGTAGAAGAAGAAGAAGTGGAACAAGCTCTCAAGCTTTTCCAAAAACCTTCAGGTTTTCATGTCCAAAAATCAGTCATATATCATCCTTCTAAAACATAAAAAACACATTTTATTTATAGGAGAAAAGAGGGCAGCCAAATAGCCCCAATTACCCTAATTAAAACTAATTAAAAGAGATAAAATGAAAGGTCAAGAGGCTGTCCAAAAATAGCACCTAAACAGCCAACATTCACTTCAAAACAACAGCTAAAAAAGCTCACAAAAACAGTGAAAAACAGTCACGGGAAAAGAGCAAGCAACACAAAACAATTCCTAAAAATCAGCACAGGAAACGGGTAGGAGAATTCATAGGAAAGCAGCCAGGGAGGGACCCGAAGAGCCAGCACATAAAATTGGACTGGAGAAGCCACGGGAAGGCAGCCAGAGGGAAAACCGAAAAGGCGCCTAGTAGGTTTCACATGAACAACACAAAGAAGGAACCAAAGAGACACAAGAAGGGGAAGAGAAAAGAGGCAATAATTCCACTCCAATAATGAGATATTCAATAAAAAAACTTTACATAATAATGAGCTAAAGTTTTAGCTCAAGCATTTATGAGCTAAAACCAAGAAGTTCCCAAAGAATACAGCTCAAAATCAAAGCAGTCAAGGTCCAACCTGAGAGCAACAACAGCCCAAAAGACCAAAAGAACCCAACTTGATTTGACCCCACCCCCCCATGCCTATATTAATTCTCCTCCGGTTGAAAGAATTCATCTCCCGATGAGTTTTCTTTAGATTTCTTCCGAGTAGGCAAAGAAGGCGCCTCAAACTCTTGAATTTTTTGCCGCATACCTTTTCAAGACCTCGACTCGCTCTCGCTTGAATTGTTCTTGTATAAGTTGTTTCTTTTTCATGTATTGCTCCGTACACAAATGCATCTTCAATTGATGCTTGTATTGTTCATTCTGTAGGGGATCTGTTGAATTTCCTTCAGTCGGAATCCACCTGTCCATTGAAATAGGATCTTCAAGATTTTCTGGATTGCATTCTTCCACAATGGACTCAATTTTTTTGTGATTTTCCATTTTTTTAAACACTTAAAAAAATATGAAAAGAGACCTAGGAAGACACAAACCAAAGCTCTGATACCAAATTAATACAAACAAAAATTTGGGAAAAACCCCAAATTTTTTCAAGCAAAAATAAAAGCTTCCTAGGAAATAGGAATTACACAAAATACTCAAAAATAGACAAAATACATACTAAAAATCAACTTTCATATTATAATAAACTCTTACAAACTTTGACACAAACACACACATCTAAACTTGCTTTTCTTGGATCGAGAAGAAAGATACAAGTGATGTCGAAATTTGCGGAGAGAAGAACGAGGTCAGAAGCCGAGACAAAGAGAGAAGAAGCTCGCAAGCCTTCCCAAGAAGTAGAAGAAGAAGAAGTTGAACAAGCTCTCAAGCTTTTCCAAAAACCCTTAGGTTTTTATGTCAAAAAATCAGCCATATATCATCCTTCTAAAACATACAAAACACCTTTTATTTATAGGAGAAAAAAGGGCAGCCAAACAACCCCAATTACCCTAATTAAAACCAATTAAAAAAGATAAAATGGAAGGTCAAGAGGCTGTCTAAAAATAGCACCTAAACAGCCAACATTCACTTCAAAACAGCAGCTGAAAAGGCTCACAAAAATAGACAAAAGCAGCCACGGGAAAAGACAGGCAACACAAAACAATTCCTAAAAATCAGCACAGGAAACGGGTAAGAGAATTCATGGGAAAGCAGCCAGGGAGGGACCCGAAGAGCCAGCACAGAAAACTAGACTGGAGAAGCCACGGGGAAGCAGCTAGAGGGAAAACTGAAAAGACACCCAACATGTTTCATGGGAACAACACAAAGAAGGAACCAAAGAGACACAAGAAGGGGAAGAGAAAAGAGGCAATAATTCCACTCCAATAATGAGCTATTCAGTGAAAAAACTTTTCATGATAATGAGCTAAAGTTTTAGCTCAAGCATTTATGAGCTAAAACCAAGAAGTTCCCAAAGAACACAGCTCAAAACCAAAGCAGCCAAGGTCCAACCTGAGAGCAACAGCAGCCCAAAAGACCAAAAGAACCCAAAAGCAAATGAATTCATGCCAGAGAAGTTCAAACAAGATGAACAAGGAAAATTCCGTCACTTACCATAGTTCCTTTCTCTACAACAATATCAAAGCTCTCACTCTCAAACGGAAGGTCATGCATGTCAGCCTCAACCACTTGGATTCCTGGAAATAGATCACACAAGAATTAGATATGGAAAACTTTTGAAATTCAACACTTACTACTTTCTTTTAGCCAGAGGAAGCTATTGAATTAAAATCAAACATAATTAATAACAGCATGTAAATACACCAGCCCCTTGCCTACATCAAAATGTGAACATGAGTTAGCTTTGAAGAAAATGCATTAAGCTAAATCTTTAGATCTATATGAAATACAAGTTTAGAGATTAAGAGGTATATTGGTTTTATTTGACTAAGTATTTTTTTATAAATCTAAGAGGATGATAAATAATTGAAGAAAAATATTTGTGGTGTCAATATTTAAGAACATAAAGATGTCTAGGGTTATGGTAATTCAAAGGTAACATTTTATGAATCCTGTAGGAAAATTATGGACAAGGGTGATGTAATATAAGCTTAAAAAATCATGCCAAAATGAAAAGAAGGATTAGAACAAAGATTGAACATGTGATATCAAATATTAGTGGAGGTAAAATAAAAAAAAAGGATGCAAATGAGAACCTTAATACTGAAGTTAAATTGGGTGGAAAGATCAATTGAGCATATAAAATGAAAAGAATTGGATACACCAAAAGGGCGAGAAGTGGAAGGATTAGGCATAACAAATGGTAGCTCAAAGGTACTAAACTAAAATCTTTCCAAAAAAATTGTGCAATATAAATTAATAGTTTGTGTAGCACTCCATATGAATGAAAAAGAAAGATAAGAAAAAGCCAACCTTAAATAATTAGGATAATGCTAATGATGATGATGCTGAATCAAATTAGCAGTACCGATGGACCTCAGACATGGAACCAACACATTCCAAGATAAGAAAAAAAAAAGCAAATGAATTCATGCCAGAGAAGTTCAAACAAGATGAACAAGGAAAATTCCGTCACTTACCATAGTTCCTTTCTCTACAACAATATCAAAGCTCTCACTCTCAAACGGAAGGTCATGCATGTCAGCCTCAACCACTTGGATTCCTGGAAATAGATCACACAAGAATTAGATATGGAAAACTTTTGAAATTCAGCACTTACTACTTTCTTTTAGCCAGAGCAAGCTATTGAATTAAAATCAAACATAATTAATAACAGCATGTAAATACACCAGTAACCTTGAAAAGCAAGGAGATAGATGGAACAATGAACAATCAGATACAATGACAAACCTAGCAAGCCTTTTTCCTTCAAGCGTTGTCTCATCCTCTCAACAGCGATGGCGGAGATATCGATGCAAGTTATATCCATCACGCCCTCTCCGTGCAGCCTTTCGCTGAGCCGTGAATTCCCACAACCCAACTCCAATATCTACCCAGAACCGTTGCCCGTTGAAAGCAATTTATATAAAGGAAAAACTGACAACTACAAAATCAGGGGGTTGAATAGAAATAGAAGACGAACATACAGAATAGTTTGTGGAAATATAGGGACGGATGAGGTGCTGAAAATACGAGTATTCCTTGAGCCACTCGTAGTGCTCCTCCGCCAAGAACCGCTCATCCCTGGGAAAATAAAAACAGAAAATCAAACGAAGGTAAAGAATGGGTCCAGTGGCGAATGAAATTGATAGATTTGGGCCGAACAATCAGGACTATTTTTGCAAAAGAGAAGATCTGGGAAAACAAACGAGGCGGTGAAGGGCTGACCAGTAACGAGGATCACCATAAGCGGAGGTCGTCTTTGGGAGAAATTCGGGGGCGGTTTCCTTCCTCCCACCGTCGTTAGGGGTCGCCTGATCGTCAAAAGCCATCGCCGGCGAGGACCTTAACGGGCTGTTTGGCAACAAGTAGGATTCAGTAGGCCGTAAATCCGAATAGTAAATCGGGAGCATGTAAGCATGTTAAATATTGAAAATAGTTGTGCAAGAGAATTATTAAAATCTGTTAAATTCTATAAATTTATTTGACAACAATTAGTTTATTAAAAATTTAAATTTAATTTATGTTTCAAATTTAATTTATATTTAAAATAATAATTACTCATTAATTTTAATTTTAATAGATATCAATTAAATTGTGATTATAAATAATATTATTAGAAGTTAGTTTAATAATTAATTGATTTAAATAATTATTTAAGCAATATTTAAATGATTTTAAATTATTATGGACACAATTAACTAATTAATTATTTAAGTCTTATATTCTTTCTAATTAATTATTATTTCATATATATCTTGTTAATTATAATATCAATTATTTAATTACTTCTACTTAATTATTTAATTATTATTTACATAACTAATTATTTGATTATTAATTATAATGCTAATTATTTAAGTAATTATTTAAATATTTTTAAAGATAAAATTAATTTTTAATTATATTGTTAGTTATCTAATTAATTATTAATATTCTATGTTATATTAATTAAGTTAAATTAAATTAAATTCTAATTTAAATGATAGCCATCTAAGGTTTTATTTTCAACTTCTCAATTTCTTTGTTGTTATGCTTCTCCCTATGGCCATTTCTTTGTTTCTAATTTGCATCGTGTGCTTCACGTGAAGTAACGTTTTGTTGTTATTGCTTCTCCTCGTGGCTATTTCTTCTTAGTTTTGTTGCCTCATTCAATAACGTTGGATTAGAAGTTACAATGCAAGCTCGTGTCACACTCTAGGGTATATAGTGAAAGAGTTTTTTTCTTTTTCCTTTTCAATCTTTATTATTTTGTCAATTTATTCTATTCATGAATCAAATCAATATCAACATCCATAGCTGATTATTTTAATTTCAAAGAACTAATAAACAACTAAAAATATAATTCACATATCTATAGTCCATAATTACATCACAATGATCTAGTCCAAAATAATATATACAATATCTATTTTGATTACAAAAGAATATATATAAATCAAAGAACTAAAATAAAAGTTGCATTAGCATCACTGCATACATATATAACCTCAAGCTGCAGGCTCCTTACTTGAATCATTTAAACCAAATAATGAGCAAATAGCCTAGTAAATAATTAAAATCTTATAACTTAAATCAAAGAAATAAGAAGCAAAATAATATGTTGTAAATCATATAAAGAAATCTATGCAACAATATTTATGTCGATTATCTATATTAATTGCTTATCTTATAACTCATCACATCGCAGTCTACAACATTAGTAACATTGATCTGTATCAGTAACAATGATTTGTATCAGTGATCAATATCATCAAGAGCAGTAACAATATTAACAGCAAACAACATCAGTACAATGTAAGTTTTAATATCAGTAAGCAACAATGATCTGTTTCAGTAATACTAATGAGTAATAATTCAATAATTAATATTATATTAGAATTCATATGTGAATATCTTGAGGGTATCAATCTTGCTCATGCACTTATGAATCTCAATCAATCTTCAACTCTTTGGGACTTATAGTCATTGATCTGAAATCATTACTCTGGAATCGTTATATCATTATGAGGTCTTTGTTCTATATATCTAATATCATTCAATACCTTCTTTTCTATCATGATCAATACAGTACATCCTTGTCTTTCTGAGTCAAACCAATATTTTTATATTACAATACATATCAATCAATTCAACACATAGTAGAGTTCAAAAGATCTTACCAATCACAATACATAAATTTTCACTTTAATTTCAGCATACATTTCACATAGAAATTCTTATACACAAATTAATCAATAAAAATGCAAGAAAAATATATTAAATCATTTAGAATGATCAAATATAAAACATATCAGAAGTTATATGATGAAATCTTACAAAATCAAGAGATAATGCATTTTTGGCATATTTAGGAGAGATAAATCTGCAAAAATAAAAATCATCAAACATAGAAGTAAGATGATAGTTACTTACAATGAAAATAATATCTGTAACACGAATGGCAGACAAAATTGACATGAAGACCTTTCTCTATCCTCTTTCCTTATTCTTCCTCTTCTTTATATCATTCTTTCCTTCCCGGCCAAACATGCGAAGTGAGGGTGAGGGGGCGGTGCAAAGATATTTATAATAAAATTATATTATTAGTGACCTAATGTTGCATGGAAATTTCAGAGTTACTATAGAATAGAGACTCCGACAACGCAATAGCCATTTCTAGCGTGGTTGTGCTACAGACCCCGGCCTCAGCACTCAGAGGTAGAGTGCCAATGCGTTTTAGCTTAGTGTGGCTATGCTACAGACCCCAGCGCCTCGGCACTCAAAAGTAAAGTCCCGTTGTGTCGTAGTTTAAGCAGAAATTCAAATTTTTTTTTCTTCGCGTTTCATTTTTTTGGGTTCACACAGCTCGCTCGCTACAATGGTAACCATCTTTCTCCACAATAAGGTCCTGCGCAAAAGCATTCACTCGCAAGTCTTTAAATCCTATAGTTCATAAATATCGTTAATTAGTAGAACGGCGTGAATTAGTATATGTTGAATTTACGTCGCAAATCTGTAAATATAGGATTTGCGATCGATTTGAATTTGCTGTGTACTCTTAAATAGTTTGGCATGATTTATAATAAATCTGATGTAAATCCTGCTTAAATCCCGCTACCAACCATCCCCTAAAAGTGAACGACAGATAAACATAGAGAACTTGGAACGAGAGGAAAGTTTTCGAAAAGTACTTGACTTGCTAATTGCTTTTGGAAACATAAATTTATTAAAATAATAATTATTAATTTAAGTTAAAAACCTGTACGTAGATGAGATGATTATACCCAAGTCACATATTTTATGATTTTGCAATACCAATTTATTAAGTTAAAAATTTATCAACTTATGGGAAGTTGATTATATCATTAAAATCATGAATTTAAATTAAATTTATTAATTTTAAAAAATAGGTTTGAAAAAATAAATTACTAAATTAAAATTTATTAATTTATGAGAAAGAAATTATGAGAGAGATTTTAAAATCTTTAAAATCATAAATTCAATTTACATATTTTATAATTTATTGTTTATTAAAAATACATTAACTTGTTTAATTTATAATTTAATTTATAACGCGATAAGCATGACTCTCAAAGTACTTTAAATCAAATTCTAATCTTACATCGAATTGATCTGAACCAAAATATTTTTAGTCAAAATTTTGCCAAGAGTCTAATTATATTGACTCCTGTAATGTTAGAGTTGATTTGTTTACTACTGATTCGAACAGAAGTGAATTGAACTTTGTTAAAGCTAATCAGAAGCTAATTACTCGATGTTCGTAACTTTTTTTACTTGTGTCTATGTTTCAAGGAAATAGTTTGAGATTGAATATAATATCATTAGCCTAAAAATATTATTTTCATAATTTATAAATATAATGCATATTCAATAGATTTTAATTATAAAGTGAAAAGATACAAAATGAACTTTATATTTATGCATGAATATATATTTTTTTATATATTGTGTATTTATGGAGCCGCATCTATTCTAATAAACCATTGTTTTTGTTTGGTCTATTAATTAAGCCTATCTGCTGAAAATATTTTTGAGAGTTCGACTCATTTACTCAAACAATGGATAGAAATATCAACAATTATTACTTGGAACACAAATTAATTGTTCGTGAATATCAATCACTTTTATTTAGGCAAATCTTTTAAGTAATTATAGTTTAAGATTTAATTAGAGAACTCATTACGTATAAAAGATAATTTAAAAATATACATAGTTGCTCATAGCACGGGCGACTTAGTCTATTTTTTGACCCATCAACATCACCTGGATGACAAGTAGGTTTGAAAATCACGGCTAAGGTGGCAGACGTAAGTCGGCCGAACAACGGACAACTTAGGCGAAAATAATTTTTTTTATTAAACTAGAACTTTTCCTTTCCTTCTCCCGATCCCATTTGCTACAGTAGTGTTTAATAAGTGATATTCACACTAGATATGTTAACCTACTTATCCACTACCTCAAACGGCTGCTGCAGCTTTTACAGAGCTAGTTCAATCGGGTCCATTGATCATCTGATGCTATGTTAATCTCAGTCGTTTCTTTCCAACGGCCACTGTCATCTTCCTCCTTTATATACTCTCTACTGTAGCAGCAATAGATTAGATAATACAATGGCTTTACCTCAAGCTTCTCTCTATTACTTTGATCTCTGTTATGCTTTCTAACCTTATAATGCAGGTGATTTCACTCAAAGACAGGGAACTTCAACATGGTATCAGAGCAGAGTTCGGTATCTAATAGCTGATTGTCTTCGATGGATTCTTCTGCATCTTCCGTAACCCCTATTCCAGTCTCATCTCAACCCGCCACGATGACAAAATCTGTCATCCCAGCTCAACTCAAGTTTCTCATGATGAATGTAAAAACTGTAATCAGTACTCAACTCACTGCCGACAACTATCCCATCTGGAAAGCTCAAATCCTCACTCTTTTTTCTGCCAATGGTTTTGAAACTTATCTGGATGGTTCTACCACAGAACCACCGCGCACGATTCTGGCATCCGATGGTTCTACCAGCATCAATCCTCTGTATCAGACCTGGAAATTGATTGATCAAAACTTAGCCTCTGCTTTATATGCGACTATTTCTTCTTCATTACTTCCCTATGTTCTTAATCTACCCTCCTCACACGCCATTTGGACCACTGTTCAACGTCGGCTTCAGTCCACCAACCCCTCCAAACAACTGCAACTAAATAGTGAGCTTCATCTTCTACAAAAAGGCGACAAAACCATGGTCCAGTATTTATCGGACATCAAACAGAAGGTTGATGCAATAACCGCTGCTGGTTCAACCATTGATTCTGCTGATATCATCCTTTATACCCTTAAAGGGTTACCACCGGCATACAATGCCTTTAAGACCACTATTCGATCTCAACTTCAACCAATCGGACTAGATGATTTCTATTCTCTGCTTTGTACTG